GGTGGAACTAAAAGAAAATATCATCTAATCAAATGGGTTAAAATTTGCAAGAGTAAGAAGAAAGGGGAGTTGGTATCAAGGATTTAACAAAGCTGAATATCAGCTTGTTATGCAAATGGTGGTGGAAGTTGGAGCATGAAAAAGGACTGTGGCAAGATTTAGTGAAGGCTAAATATTTAGCTAAAGACTCAATTCACACAGTAACTCATAAACTGTCTGACTCACCTATATGGTATGATCTTCTAAAAGTTAATGAGCTCTACTTGAGAGGAAGTATCAAAATAGAAAATAGGGAGAAAACTAGATTTGGAAAGGGAAGATCCCTCCCAAAATCAAGTTTTTTATGTGGTTGCTAACAAATGGGGTAGTGTTAACTAAAGATAACATGCTGAAAAGAAACTGGTTTGGTAGTCCAGAATGTTTCTTTTGTGATCAGGATGAATCAATTAATCATTTATTTTTCCAGTGCTCAATAGCAAAAGTAGTGTGGGCTTGTATGGCCAGATGCTTTGGGGCAAATGATATCCCTAGTAGTCTTGACCAGTGTCGTTGGTCCTGGCTTGATAAGTGGTTGCCTCAGGGCAGAAAATTTCATGTCCTAGGCACAGCTGCTATTTGCTGGGCCATTTGGAAGGCGAAGAATAATGCTTGCTTTGAGCACAAGATTATCAAAAGTCCGTTGGAAATTATTTGTCATGCAGGGGCTCTAATGAAGTTTTGGGCAGGGCTGTATCCAGAATTGGACAAGGAGGCGTTGGAAGAGAGGGTTAATACGATGCTGAAGTTGGCTATGAATATTTTGGCGTCCAAAAAGATCAAGTTGTCAGGGACAGTGGATGAGGCTCAGGAAAATCAAGATGGTGGCCAGTACAAGAAGTGAGCTGGGCTGCAGGGTGATAGTAACCGTGGTGGTGGCTGTCTTTGGCACTATCCTGGAAGGCTTATTGGAGTTCGAATGGGGTCTGTTATTTGTCTCTTCTTTTGCCTGGTTTCTAAAACTGTCAGGTGGTCCGGTGTTAGCTGGTTGTTGTTACTCGTTTCTAAGTCTTCTCTGTTCCTGGTTAAGTCTCTTGCGCTGGATGTTAAGCGTATTTTGTTGGGTGGTTAGCTCCTCTTGCGGAGCGCATTTCTTGGGTCTGTCTTGTCTTTTTCTTGCTCCTTAAACATCTTAAAGATGCTTGTATTTCCGTTCTATGAATGGGAATGGGGATCCCCCGAATCTAAAAAAATAAAAAAAGTAAAGAGAGTACTGTAGTATTGGCCATGTGTAACACCTTTGTTGAAAACATAATGTCATGCAGTTCGGCCCCGTTCGGCTGGCAGAATTTTGACTGAAACTGGCTGAAAAACACGGTTCTGGCTGAATTGTTGTGAGAGAAAAACACTGTTCTGACTGAAAAAAGAAGTCGAACAAGCCGAATATGGGGTAAGCCGAACGTGGCCATAATGGCGTTATACACCAGCTGAATACGGGGTAAGTCGAATATGGGGTAAGCCGAATATGGGTATCACAAAATGTGTAACATCTCTCTTCAACAACGATGTTACACACAAACTTCTCAATGCACTTCTTAAAAGAGATCTCCACAACATGTAGAATTTTTTGTGCAAATTTTCATAATTTCCTCAAATGTTATGATAGGCGCGATGTTGTATGCTGACTCAGATCCTATTTATAATGGGACTCAAGAGACGTGTGCTATTATGACTTTTAGTTCTATTAGGATTGGAGTGCAGGATCCTACTAGAAGTAGGACTCATACTTACATGCATTGGGGGAGGGACTATATAAAGGGTAGAGGCTATAAGCCAACGCTAAGGGTCTCATTCAAGACTCATAAATTGCAATTATGAGCTCTCAAGAGGATATCTAGACAGTTCTATTGCACTAAATTCTTGTATAGAGCAAGAATTAGTAGGTCCTAGAGGGTTAAGTGAGGTTGTAAGAGAGCAATAATCACTTGTACTCCTTTAGAGTTATATTATATAGAATTTGTGGTCAGCTTTACAAAAATCCTAATCTCTTATAGCCATTGTTTCAACATTGCCATCTAGTGTTTTCTATGAGATTCATCAATGTTGTTCTTGATATAATGCAAGCTTGTGTCATACTCTCAATATCCTTCTTTCAAATATCTTTGTTTGCTAACGAGTGTCTAGCAACATGGTTACATATAGTCCTTTGAGGAGTAATTATGTCATGGGAAATCTGGAAGCACTGCTTGTCTCACTAATGTCGATGCTTCCTAATACTAGTAGCGAGCATCCCTATCATGGATTAATGCTGCCGCAACTTCCGCTAGAATCCTCCAATTCATGGACCTCAATTCCTGAACATGAATAATAAAAATGAACAAGACGAATATATAGTACATATTAAGGACTAGTCCGTTACTTGTAGTCCGCTGCATGGTGCCTAGATGCTTTCAAATTTTAATAATGAGCATTAGCGCCGAGCATATATAACAGACGTCCCCAAGAGTTACATAAAACCACTTGTAAAATTAGGTATTGGCCAAAAGTGTCCCAAAACCATACTCCATATATTTATGCATCCTTGCTCCAAAACCACTGTCATTATGCTCCATATTCGCGTTATCAAAACGCGTTACTATTGTGATATCCGAGATGGGCCAAGTCAAAACACATGTCTTGGATATTGACTCAAACAAAACAAGTCAAAACGTTTCTTGTTGCCCAACAAGGCCTTAAGCCCCGTTCGGCTTGTTGAAACTTGACTAAAAAACACTGTTCTGACTGAATTGATATGAAAGAAAAACACTGTTCCCGCTAAAAAACAAGCTGAACAAGCCGGTTTCTGGGTAAGCCGAACGGGACCTTAATATTTCGTTGTTCCTCTTTGGCTATAAGTTATTTTACAGTTCCTTTAGGATATTTAAGAACACAACTTATTTTTCTCTCACAATAAATTAACGAACAATACTTTTCAGCTTGTCTTTTCAGCAAAGTGAACAGGTAAGTACGGCTGATAAGACAAGCGAGCAAGACTATATGGTCAACTATTGACACGAACACAAGTACTATACACAGCAACACAAGGAACGATATAGCGTGGTTCAGGTAGTGGACAATTGATAGTTTATCTTCCTCTATCTTCATTTGTCGCATTTTCATTATGGATCAAATACTAAACCACTATCAGAGAAACACCTAGACAAAACACCAAGGCACTAGGCAAGCGGCACTGCTCTACTTAGCGACTGGGTGACACCTAGCACCTCTCTGAAACAGAGATTATATCTATTGAGGGTAGGGGTGGGCAATTGGGTAACCCAAAAGGTTCAGGCCGAGTAATTTCGGTTTTTGGAAATTTGGGTTTCACATATTGGTACCCAATTTGGCATCTGCTAACCCTAGTGTTAATATATTTGCACAACACCCTTTCTTGTTTTCGCAAAGATGGGACTCAGTTCCCATTAACATTAATTAATGGGAGTCAAAGCACCACTACAAGTAATATTAGTGATTTTGACAATGTCCAATATAATCCATGTCAAATTCTAATTAACCCATAAATTTCCTACAGTATCATTCTGACAAGTGGGGTTGTTCATTAATAACTAATATAATGTGAGTATTTCTATTCAATAAATTAACATGTGGGATAGTTCAAACACAACAGCGCAAATGCAGAAATATGTGTAGCTATTATTCAAAATAACAAATCTAAAGGTGCCTCAAGGTCCCTGGGAAACTGTTCTATAATAACTACATCCACAAATTCAATTGGTAGACCCAAGAGATATGGGAGCTGAAATACAACACCACATAACTAACCTTTTATTTTTCCTACAATCGGTAAAAACATCCACAATAGCTAGCTGAACAAAATCACCGCAGTTGTCCTTTTATATTTATTGATGGATTGATCTATGCTTCTAGCTATAGTAAAGTCATTTAAAGCTAATGATGCAAATCTGAAAAGAATGATTGTATAGCAGATTCTTAACCAGCCAATTCTGCTGCATGACTTATTTTTATTAAGTGGATGAGAAAGCCAGTTTCAAACAAGAAATCCACATATCTACTCCTATATCAAATTTGTCCTGGTAAGAAATCTAATCTGATGCAAGTGAAAAAGTCTAGTCTAGTTAGCAACCAGGCCATCACATTTTTTTCACACAAAACACAGGGACCTGCGTATCATTATATTAAGAAGAAGGCCATCACATTTCAACACAGATATATACTATAAATTATAGTATTAGTTTAGCCAAACTGCATGACAAGGTGACTCGTAAGATTCAGAAATAGATGTATTTAAACAGTGAAAAACAAGGCTAATGACAAGGATTAATAGACAGCAGATTAACATGAACTAAAGTATTATATAAGTTATAGCTTGTGAAAAGTACTATCCTGCATGCTTCAAACATCAAAACAGTACTTTTCCAATAACAATTTACTTAACTTACAAGATATTATGCAAATCAAGGAGAGCTCGAGGTTATTGATGTCATCAACATATCATGAAAACAGTGTACTGTTCAAAAATTTGTAAAAAACACTATAGGATCCAATACCCTTGTTGGTAAACAGATCTAATCTAAAATCTATATCATTTTAACAAAAGATATCTCACATTCAGACATTCTGGAGCTACATTCCCACATTCTTCCAATGACACCACTATGTCCAAGACAATCCAATGGACAATGGAGATAAGTGGTCTATGCTACTAAGTAAAGAATAACATATTATACTGATTCAATCAACTACAACAGGTTGATATAAATAGTGGGATGCCACGCAATCCCTGAAATTCAATACTAAGAAAAGCCTTGTTTAGTACCATTGCAAAATGAATCCTCATCCAGCAATTCTGAGTTGATATCATACAACATGGTGCGATGTAACATTAACTGACATAATTAAAAGAGGAGTCCGCTACTCCACGCTCCACAGCACGCAGGTCTATTTAGATGTAGCGAGATCTTGCAACGGATCTGGCCTAGTTAACAGGCAAGATTTTATCAGGCTCACCAAAGGTAGCCGGGGATCTTGATGCGGAGGAAGAGCATGGCCATGGCGTAGGCGATGACGACGGCGACCGCGCCGGCGCTTCCAAACGAGACGCGGAGGCTCCGGGGCCTGGTGCGGTCGACGGCGAGGTCGAGGAGGATGATGCCGACGCCGCCAAGGAGGAACATGAACCCGGAGGAGAGCCCCTCGATGATGTACTGGCCGTTGACGCGCCCCGGGAGGAAGACGACGGGGCGGACGGCGCCGGTGCCGGGGTCCTGGGCGCTGCCGATGCCGGGGGGCTCGACGATGACGTCGTAGACGAGGCCCGAGACGACGGCGAAGTAGGTGAGTAGGATGAGGGAGAAGACGGTCATGGGTGAGGGGAGCACCAGGTTCGACGGCAGCCTCAGGCGGGTGCGCGGCGGCCGGAGGAAGGAGAAGGGGAGCACGCGGAGGACGTGGAAGAGGGGATCGATGGAGTCGAAGTCGGCATGCGTGGCCGCCGCAGCTGCGGCGCTGCCGCCGGCGTGATCCGATCTAGGGGGCATCGCGCGTGGAGTGGGAAGAGAAAATACGGGCCACGCCTGGGGTTTGGGCCTCTTTTGACGTTTTTGGCTGTCAGAGGGACTTTTTTCTACCCCCAAACCCCGGGCGCCCCACTCTGCCGGTCTGCCCTGCGCTCCTAGACTCTAGCCGAGCCCGCCCCACCGCCGCTCGCCCCAGCCTCCTCTGAGCCGCCCAGAGCTTCTCGTTCGCTGGCGGAATGGTAAGCGCACGAGCCCTCCGCCTCGTCCTCCTCCCGCGCCTGCGGCGCTGCAAGATCTGATCTCCTCTTGTTACGTTTGCGTGGCGTTCCCAATTCCCATCGTGCAGGATGACTCGGAGAACAAGGCACCCTCGACGCCGGGGTCCCCCGGGTTCAGCACCGACCAGCTGCCGCCCAACACCACCACCAGCCGCGGCGCCACTGCTCTGTCCTCCTATTCTAACGACTGCTCTGTCCTCCTATTCTGACGACGATGGCGAGCAGAGGTCGACACTAACGTGCTCCCCAATGACGACGACCCCGCCGCCGCAGTGGCCCCCGACGAGGACGAGGAGGGGGAGGACCTCTACAACGGCAACTACCTCGAGTAAGCCAACTTGAATCTGACCCGGGGCTGAAGATTTCTGGGATCTGCTGTGATTCAGGGTTTTGGGGTGACTGGGTAATTGGGACCAGGGATCTGATAGAGGCAATGGGTCGATTGACAGACACGATCAGTGGCCAGAACGGAAAAAAAAATTAAGGTAAGGCGAAATCGATAACTTGTTTGGATGTAGATATTGGGCTGGGTGGTATTGAATTGGGTACCAATACCAATACAGCCTTAGAATGGAAATAGGTTCAATACCAAATCTTTTGTTTTGTTGTAGATAGAGAATTGCTAGCTAGAATCAAGCAAGGTTATATATTGTCAAATTCTGTACCTACATGATCGTCACTAAATTGTAGATAGAATTGGTAGCTAGAATCAAGTAAGGTTATATAATGTCAAATTCTGTACCTACATGATCGTCACTAGAATCAAGTAAGGTTATATAATGTCAAGTAAGGTTATAGAATGCCATGGAAATGGGCTTCGATTCCACCTCTCAATGCCAAAGACATCCAAACAATAGAATTGGAAAAACTCGATTCCAATTCCAAAATCCAGGTCTGAATATCTACATCCAAACGGGGTGTCAAAGTTTTCTCACTAAATTGGTTTATACACATATAACATATCACCTACTATATAATTATAAAAATATTTAGAATAAATAGAAAGATAGAAGTAAAGTCATAGACTATCTGAGTGACAATGAACATCACTTGGTTCATACTCATCTAAGTCAAATTCATCATCCTCTTCTACTTGTTCTTGAATCTCTACTTCAAGATCCCGAAAAATTTGCAGCTCCATCACCACCAGTAGAAGGATTGGAGGTGCCGCCACCGGATGAAAAGGTCCTCAAATCTGCAATCGACCACCACCAATTATTTAACAAAGTATATTAAAGCACACATGCCAATTAATTTATAGCAATTTTGCCATCTACAAAATTAAATATGTACCTCTTGTTTTGGTATTGCCCTTGTCTTGTCCTTTTGGATGATAATTTATGTTCACTGTGATTCATAAATTAATCAAACAAACTTAGTAATTAATTAATAGTCAAGCATCCCAACTGATAAAAAAATTTACAGACAGGGAACTCTGTAACTCACCAACGCAAAGGACTGATGAGAAATTTAGACTTTCAGTCTGCCCCTGAGGAAACACAGTAGCTCACTGAGGACGCCAGGACTCACGGAGTTGCTCGCGCAGACAGTGGACTCAAGCAGCGCAGTCGAGCTCGTGGTGATCGCCTGATCGAGCGGTGCCGCAGCCCGCAAGAGATGGCTGATCGGTGAGTGATTGATGGCGGCGCGGCCCGCGGGGACACGAAGCGTCGAGCGGATGAGCGGTGTAAGTTGAATGGTGTAAGTTGAATCGTCGGCCTCACAAGTCCTACAGAAGATTGATCGTCGTGGTCTCATTCTGATAGAAGATCGATGGTTCCAGCAGCCAGCAGGCCAAGGAAAAGGCCAAAAGGCCCATATACGTGATACACTGATACTCCATACAATTGAATAAGGTAATAGTTACTACTGCTCTTCCTCTAGCTGCTGGCTGAGAGTTTATTACAGTGAAACTTCATCTTCCTTAATGTATCCATGGTACAAAGTGATTTGGGGGTAAAAATTCCTGGGAATTCAAGGTATGGCGAGCACTATACCTTGCCATACTGGGAGCTCCGCTCCTGGATGCGATTGTTTTTTGGGTGTGGTTTGGTCAGATATCTGCGGTTTTAGGATATGTTGTCATGATTTACTGCATGATGTAGGCAAATTGTGGTGTTTAGAGAAGAAGAAATGGTCAATTTATTGATTAAATTTTCCCATTTTTGTTGAAAAGTTTACTGATTAGGTTGTCCTAAACCTCATATATTTAAAATGAGGGGGTACATAAATTGGGGAAGAATTTTGTAGTTACGTAATTGTAGTGCTAGAGTAACTAAACTACAGGCTTAACTAATATTTATTGGATTGATGGAAATGAGCTTAAATCTACTATGTTTTATTGAAAACGACCAACTTTAGTTCTTGGTCATGCATCTAAATTTTGCTAATTTTACTGGTCTGACCTCTCTGACGGAAATGCACTTGACCCATCTCAAAATTTGCTAAATTGAAGTGCTTTGCGTGACTCTGTGTCTATAGGGGCAGATGCCCAGGCTCACCATCTTTGATGAGAGATTTGTGTAGTGGCCCAGCTGCCTTGATGTGAATTTGTGTTTAGTTACACATTGTTATCAAACTAAAGTTACTGTATGTTTATAACGAACGCATGCATTTTTTACACGATTGCAATGAATCCAATGTATCAAAGCCATTCTATATATCTGCTGACTGTCAGTTTTGAAGTCTTTTGCTTTGATATTCAGTCCTTTTTCCTTTTCCTGATTGAAGTGATTACCGAAGGATGGAAAGCATGAACAGTATGAGTCAGTTGGCTTTGGCGTAGATGATTCACTTGAGAATGAGAGGAATCTCGATGAAATCATGGCTGATCGAAGGGCCGCGGAAGCGGAGCTTGATGCAAGGGATGTGAGGTCTGGTGCAGCAGCTGGCAGGAAATTGCCACGGATGCTTCACGATCAGGGTAATGGCTTCAAGACAAGTTTTAGTTTCTGTATGATATCAGAGCAAATTAAGTATTTATGTTTATTAATGTATGCTCTTGATTAAACTACCACATGAGTATTTGGTATATGAACTTATGTTGCATCTCTGGGCTCTGGTTCGGTTGCATCTACTTCTTTTGCGATTGGTTTTAAGTTTGACTGACCACATCCTCATTTGGTGATTTCAGTGTGGTTAACACTTTGTGTAAAAATCTCATATATTGCATATTATGCTGAATATGGAGCTGGACTATCTCCATTTATCCATCCATTTATCAACTGTTGGAACGGTAAAAATGTATTTTATTTTTCTTCCACGTGTAGGAGAGCTGTGTGCCATTTATGTCTCAACCGCAAATGAATTTGTTGTTTAGGAAGTTATTAATGTTTGTTTCGAGTTCATGTCCATATAGTAAGCATACAACAGATATTAGCAATCAATCTTCGTTTTGCAGTACTGATTACGTGTAGATAATTTTTTGAGAACTGATAGTTATAGATTCTTGTAAAAAAAGGTTAACATGATTGCCTTAGGTGTAAACTTTTGTAACATATATTAGAAGTCCAAGGTTTAGATGTCAGTTTCTGTGTGAATGCAAAGCTCTTATCTACCATGGTGCAGATACAGATGAGGATATGAATTCAGGAGTCCAAAAAGGCACAGGGCTAGTTTTAGACCACCAAGTGGATGAAGAACACCAAGTGATGATGATGGTGATGGTGCCACTCCTAGTTCACCTGGAAGATCTCAGCATGGAATGTATTCTAGTGGTGATGTGCCTAGACTGATCAGGAGCCTCTGCTGTTGGTCTTACTGCTGTGGTTCACAAGGATCCAGTAACACGAGAATGGACAATTGAGGGAGGTGCACTAGTCCTTGCTGATAGGGGCATTTGCCTTATTGATGAATTTGACAAGATGAATGATCAAGATAGGTATGAGATAACCTTTGCATTTGGATGTCCTGTACTATTTATATTTCTGTATTACTAAAATGTAATTCTCTTCTGATTATTTCAGGGTAAGTATTCATGGAGCTATGGAGCAACAGAGTATCAGTATATCAAAAGCAGGAATTGTCACATCTCTTCAAGGTTCAAGCTAGATGCAGTGTAATTGCTGCAGCAAACCCAATAGGGGGAAGGTAACTTCAGTTCCGTGCATGCCATGTAATACCAGTGCCTAGTATTAAGAAAGATAGCAAGCATTCTTGTTTCACAGGTATGATTCATCAAAGACATTCACTTAGAATCTTGTACTGACGAATCCCATTATTTCACGTTTTGACGTCCACTGCATGGTTAAGGTTTGGAGCTGTTATTCATGTGTGATATATTTGTTCCACGATCAGTTGTCAATCACTACTAATCTTTAATTTGTAAAATGCAGGATATTATTGATCCATTTACAGATGAAATACTTGCAAGGTTTGTTGTGGATAGTCATGCCAGATCCCAACCCAAGGCGGCTAACCTTGAAGACAGGGTTCCAACTGATGTGGGTGATGATCCACTGGCCGCTGCAAGACAAGCTGATCCAGATGTATGTATCCTATCTATTTCAACTGAAAGAACCTCTTACTTTGTTTTGTGGTTCTAACAGAATGTTATATTGTCAGGTCCTTTCCCAAGACATGCTGCAGTACATAACATATGTTTAAGCTGAATGTATTCCCAAAATACATAATGCCGATCTAGATAAGATTAGCCATGTTTATGCTGACCTCCGTCGTGAATCCTCTGTATGATATCCTTCGTTAGCCTTGTCTAGTGTTTTGTGTGAACTAAATTTCTGAAGTGTCACCTTTGAAAACAATGAAGTAATAAGTAGTTTCCAACTAACCTTGCAGCATGGCCAAGGGGTTCCAGTTGCAGTAAGGCATATAGAACCAATCATCTGAATGTCGGAGGCAGGAGCTACATGTCTCAGGAAGATGTTGACATGGCCATCCATGTCTTGCTTGACTCTTTTATTTCAACTTAGATACTCAGTATGCAGAAAGCACTTCAAAAGGTAAATTTTGTTGGTATTGAGCTGTTATATGGCCATTACATCATCCAATGCCACACAAGTACATGCATTTGATAGATTTATGTAAAAGTGCATCTATTGTAAGGTGCCATTACATCATCCAATGCCACACAAGTACATGCATTTGATAGATTTATGTAAAAGTGCATCTATTGTAAGGGTTATTTACTCTGGTTTTTTTCTTCTTAATGTAATGATACGCTTCTCTTCTGCGTGTTTGAGAAAAAATCTATTTAACTGAAATAATGTACTAAACGGTGTCAGTTGTCAGTAAATGTCATGAACATGCATTGCTTTCTAAGTCTTGTTTCAGATTAGGCTAATAGCATGAGTTGAATCTTGTTACCTTGTACTAATCAGTCTGGGTCTGGGTAGTCTGGAACTACTGAATGCCTTGCAAACATCACAACATGAATTTCTGCTATCCACAGAATTTCCGGAAATACATGACATTTAAGAAGGATTACAATGAGCTGCTTCTGCTCCTGCTGCGCGCACTGGTTAAGGATGCACTGCACTTTGAAGAAATCATCTCAGGATCAACCTCGCGCCTTACTCATGTCGAGGTCAAATGTCAAAGTGGAGGACCTGAGGAACAAGGTAAGCCTTCATGAGTGCTTCCACACAAAACCAAGCCGAGTGACCTCTTTAACATCTGGATCCTGACTTGCTACACCTGTTGACCCAGGCCCAAGAGTATGAGATTTACGATCTGAAGCCCTTCTTCTCCAGCGCACACTTCAGGGATAACAGCTTCGTTCTGGATGAAGGGCGTGGGATCATCAGGCATCCACTGGCGGAATAACAACTGAGCTTCCTCCCGTCAAGAACGGTCCTTTGTCGTTACGGCCCTGGTATGAAATGAACAGCCACAGAGGCCTCCTGGATGAAGAGGGATGATCAGATCTGATCTCATTTCTTATAAGCATACAAATGACACTGAGCCGATTGCCTTCTCAGGATTTAGTATCTATTGTGTTATATTAAGTGCTTCATATTTAAACATGCACTTTGCTGTCATTTAGGCGTAACTATACGGTGTGTCAAATCATTTGTGTTAGATAAATGATGCCTGTGACTGCAGGCAATAGAAAACTAGGAAAAGAAACAAAAACAAATTAGAGCCAAATAACTATAAATATACCAACAGACAGATTCATTTTTTAGATTCTGTTAGCAGTTTCATATATTTTGATTTATATAAATGAGCTAATTATGAATTTTTAGAAATTAGACATGGTATTTATTATTTCCAAAAAAATAGAAAACCTCCTTTACCCTGGCCCACATGCAGAAACGTTGCACGTTGAGAAGTAGGGATGGGCATAATTAACCGAAAAAACGAATAAAAGAACTGGAACTGAAAAAGGCGGTCGCTTGTTGGTTCTAGATATCAATGAATCGGAATAACCAAAGAAATTTTAATTTCTGATAACTGAATTAACTGAAATATATGAATTGTACCATACTAACTTGCAGTTTGTAGAACTATGACCCAGTTTAGATTCTCTGTTCAGTTGGCGAAAGTTGAGGACTACAATTTTAGATCATTTTGACTTCGTTATGAGGGGTCTAAAATTTTTGTGAGATTGACTAAATTTTAGACAACATTTTAGACCTTCTATTTAGAGCCTTAAGAATTAAAGTGGTCTAAAGTTTAGTAGATAATGCGAACTGATCATAGATTAGCTGGTTGGGTTTATTGTGGTGAAACCTGTCCATCTGGGTTCAAGTCGTTGATTTGACACGGGTGTTCGTATTTTTCTGAATTTATTCCAGGATTTAACGGCGTTATGTTTTCAGTGGTAGGCGACGTCTCTTTAGACAGCGAGGCGTCTGTGGTGACTTCGTGAATCTCATGATCTGCCGGCTCAGTCCTTCGGAGGTGTTCATAGGGATATGGTTTACGTACGTGTATTCATAGGGGTAAGTGTGCGTGTGTTATGAGTGTCTGCGTTGTACTGTGTAATTCTTAAAAAAAAAATTTAGTAGATAAATTCTAGACCCTAGGATCCAAATAGGGCTTATATTGGTTTTTATGTGATGTCTCATATTTGAAATGTTATGTATTTGTGTTACTATATTACTACTATTCTCTTATCAGTTATTATTATCTTAAATAGATGTAGTGTTGCCTAAATTAGTTTAAGAACCTGCATATTTATTTGTTGTTTAAACGTCTGTTGCAAAAAATCAGTTAATTCAGTTAGAATCGGAACCGAACTGAAATAAACAAAAAAAAAACGAAATGATTGGTTCCTAAAAGTTCTTAGAATTGACCGGTTCCCATTTTCTATGAATTGAATTTTTTTAAGAACCGAGAAACTGAACGGGCAAAAAAAAAAAAAAGCCCACCCCTATTGAAAAGTGATAGCTTGGGAGCGAGTGGCGGACCTAACAAAAAAATCTGGTGGAGCAAATTTGGGCTACAAGTTAAACCAAAAGGTGGAAAAGACCACACGTACATACTGTAATCGAACATATCATAGCAAAACAACGAGCGAATTATAGTTTAAGATGATAACCTTGAATTTAAAGAATAATTATTATTTTTGCAACAAACCATTAAAGATACATTAAAAGAAAATCCATTAGAACTTTTTAAAGATCAATTAGTTAGTGATAATGAAGTGATCACATGCCTTAAGTATTGTTGGATAAAGCACTAATTAAGACCCTCCTGTGGCTAGCACCAAGTGGTGCTAAAAAGGAGAAGGAAAATTAGATCACTATTCCTTCCATTGTAGCCATCAGTGCCAATTAATTACGAGCGATGCCAGGAAATTTTGAAGCGGATGCCCAAACAGTAAAAAAATGTTTCTGTTGCTTTTTATCAATTCATCTTCAACTATCGCTCACCTCCCTGGCATGGGATTGGATGCGGATGGAGGTGCATTGCTGCTCATGCTTGTCGGTGTCCATGCTTGCGGCTTGCCACTGACCTGGCTATGACCTCCACTGCCATTTCTCCGTGCCATCTGCTTGGGACAATGCGCCTGGGATGGAGACGAGGTGCATCGAACGGGTGAGAAGAAGTCTCCACACCACCGGTTTTTTTTTCTTGCAAAAGATTTACGTATCATTGTAATTAAGAAGAAGAGTTAAATAACCATACAAACGACATGCTTCTGACGAGCGTCCTAGAAGGTCATACAGCTGTAGGCTGGACCGTCCTAGCAACCAATTTCAAGCTTCGATATTACATAAAAGGTCTACAACCAAGCTAAGAGCGGTGCAGCAACCTACGAAGCTGGACGAGCACGTTGCTTTTTCTATAGGCTCTTTTGTTGGTCGTTGGGAACAGCTTGTCCAGAACTGTGTAACTTGGCTCGACGTCGAGTTCCCTGCGAATATGACGTCGTATGCTTACTTAGATGCAGATGAAACTGTTGCTACACATGATCGATGTGATCACTTTCACCAGGTCCACCGTTGGCATCGAACCAAACACATGTGTGCCTTACATTACACAAGGTGTGGTGTGTGGTGTGGCTTTTGAGACTGAGTTTATGTAGATTTCGTGAACAAATAGCTAGCAAAGTTCATTTTTTTTATTATTAGTGTTTTGGGAGCACACACTCAGCATACATTATTTCACGACAAACTCAGCACCAACATATTTGTACTGCAAGACAGGAAAACCTAGGAGCAGCATCAGTTTGTGGATCGATCGATCAGATCCTGCTGAATAGATTAGCCATGGAGATGAGCGCGTTGGCTGACAGCGCAAGGAACCCAAGGAATGAAAACCACACCGCGATGTTGATCTTGCCGTCGAACTGGTCCTCGCCGTGTCTCAACGCCCAGAGACGGTTGCGAGACGCGGCTGCCGACGAAGCCGATATGAGCAGATACGCCAATACCTGCAGGGGAAACTAATTCAGCCACGGTAATCTCGACCCGTCTGTGCTCACACCGGCAAATAGATGTATCTGGAAGCTAGAATGCATGTGCCTGCCTGATCGAGGAAGAGGCTGCAGCTGTAGCCTGAGGTGCTCCGCGGCAGCATAGATGCCGGCCAAACTAGACGGAGGATTTCAGCAAATGCTTGCGCGATCGAGTAGAAGCAGACGAACGCATTCACTCCGACGCCGTACCTGCCGTAGTACATCATTTGAGGATCGGTGAAGGAAAAAAATAGTAGTTTAATGCCAACAAAATATGAAAGCAGTACTGAATCGAGGCTTCACAAGAAGTTCTTTTATTTTATTTATGATGAGTTTTTCTTTATTCTATCCATTACCTTATTAAATTAATTAGTTAACACTACTAAAAAATGACTTTAGACGATTATATCTTTTATTTTCAAAGACAGTCTAAAAATTTGTGTCTTCAAAATACCTAGTTAATTTTAGAGGCCACTGGTAGATATTAGGAGGTAGTCTTGTCTCCATAAGTTATTAACAGAGACATGCTTCTTAAGTGTATGTTTCCCAAAATAAAACATATTTTCAGAAATAAACCTATTAAGAGATCTGCATAGGTTAATACGGCTAAGTCCACAACCACCCCAATAGCCTTAAAGTCTCGGACACCATCGAACCCTTAGTCCTACCGAGAGCCACTCTGTCTCTCCAATCGGTCAGCCACCTCTCCTCTCCTCTCCTCCTTTGATATAAACTTTGTTTTCACCTGATATTAGTATATTGCATGCTAGCTTTAAAACTGACTAGATATCTCAAGCTATAGTGCCAATACACATTCTGTAATGCACAACAACTCAAAGTTATATCTTTTGTTCGATTAATGTACCATGAAAAAATCGTATATCATTACACAAACTCGCCAAGGGAGCAAATGTGTTTTTAAAATGCAATGTCTAACTAACAAGCTTGCAATGAGTTTATTATATTAGTGGTCAATAGGAATGTATGACTAATGAATATTTTTTCCTGGCTGTATTTACTTGAGGGTTTGCACCCAAGTAAACTAGTAGCACTCCATGGCGGTTTCCAATTACACCTAAGGAAATGTGCATTTTTCTTGGCAGTGTGAAATAATACCCAAGAAAAATATGAGATTACCTTGGTGGTTTGTAGTAATACTCAAGAAAATATGGAATTACCTTGATGGTTTGTAGTAATCCTCAAGAAAATATGGAATTACCTTGGTGGTTGAAACTAACACTCAAGAAAATATGGAATTAACTTAACGGTTTGAGTTAGCACTCAAGAAATATGCATTTCCTTAGAGGTTTCCTATGTCTTCCATGGTAAATATTCCTTGAGATTCAATTTTGTCCCTTATGAAAATTGTTGGTCCATCAAGGATATTTTATTTTTTAGTAGTAATATTTTAAGTAATAACAATGTTTGCAATTAATAAAGGGATCGAACTACGAGTGGTTGGTCTTGCAATTCAACATAGGTGTTTGTATAGCTCTATGCCCGGCCCGAGACTATAGGGCCGTGTCTAGGTAGTAGCTTCCTCGACACGGCGTGCCGGACCCAATTAGTGGAGGCCCACAAAAACCTATCTAGGGCACCTTCATTTCTCATATTCGAAACCTAGGTCCAATCCTCAACTGCCGTCCCTTCGCATGAAACCGCACGTCGCACCTTGCTCCCACACGTCCGCTCGACCTCCCCTTGCCCCCTCTCCGGTTCCTTCTCTTCCATATCGCCTTTGTCCGTATCTTTCCTCTGTGGTCTACTCCATTGTCGGCTCCCCTCGCTTACTGGTTTCTCCACGCCAGCAGAAGTGGCGGCGACCTAGCGGTGAAGAGGCATGATCCCGACTATCTCAGGGCGATTGTAGCCTAGTGGCGTAGGGACACGACCTCGTCCACCAGTAGCGCGAGCTACGTGGCTGGCTAGCTCATGCGACTGCGGATTTGTGCATGTTGGCAGACATAGGAGCTGAGGCGGCCCGGCATGACTAAACCAATGTAGGCCGTGCCTCCACCAAAGG